GAACGAACGAACGAACGAACGAACAAACGAACGAACGAACGAACGAACGAACGAACAAACGAACGAACGAACGAACGAACGAATAATACAAAGAAAGAGGCGTATTCCTTGCCATTCTGTGCACAATAACTACCCACCTTACATTTGGATCGATGACTTTAAAAGTGAACGTGAATAACCCTTCTTGTGTAAAGGAAATGCGAGATAACCCTGAACTATTAACAATAGGATAAGGCTGAGAACCATTGAACACCGACATTGCATCATTCTTTTTATCAAAACAACTCTCGTAATTCTGCAAACATAAGAAAGAATGTTACCAAAATAACCTCAGGAGACTGAGGCAAAAACCCGCGCAAAGCAATCTAGATAAGTAGTTCCTCGGTAGTATAGTGGTAAGTATCCCCGCCTGTCACGCGGGAGACCGGGGTTCAATTCTCCGCCGGGGAGAGGAAATCTTTTTAATTTTTTAAGAACGGGTGTTCTTCGTTTACACATKACGCCATAGCCGCCATCTTGGATGAATTTARCAAAAGAATTTTCAATGAATTCTTTTGTTATATCAACCAACATGGCCGCCGTGTCTTTTGTTATTCCACTCCCCTTGGGAATGAACGAAAACCAGCAATTTGAGAACCAACTCACATATTGATTCCAAGATGTGCCCATCGTACTCCAGGTCTGTGCTTCCCTTATACATCCAACCTATGACAAATTCATTCTTCCTCTAACTTTTTGATGAAAAACTAATGATGATGGTAATGATAGTGATTGTTATGATCAATGATAAGACTAATTGATAATGATGATAGTAATGATAACAACACTTTCGATTAAATGCAATTACAAGATTTCTATTTTAATGCTGATGATGTTGATGATGATTATGATGACAACGATGATGATGGTGGTAATAATGATGCTGATGATGTTAATGATAAAAATAACGATGACTGGATTTGATATTGATGAAAATGTTAATAATGACATTGTGCCTATTGATCATCGTTGATGTGTGATGATACTGATGACATTGTGACGATTGATCATCGTTGATGTATGATGATACTGATGACATTGTGACTATTGATCATCGTTGATGTATGATGATACTGATGACATTGTGACGATTGATCATCGTTGATGTATGATGATACTGATGACATTGNATTGATCATCGTTGATGTATGATGATACTGATGACATTGTGACGATTGATCATCGTTGATGTATGATGATACTGATGACATTGATCATCGTTGACGTATGATGATACTGATGACAATACCTGACTCATGGTGGCAGTGTATTCATATCCCTTTTTTTCATCTTCCTCCCACAGAACATAATTGTGATGAACTTCAGTTATGTTTGCCTCGCCGTCATATCTACAAGGTACAACGTGTATCAATAGACAAGGTACCAAGTGTATCAATAGACAAGGTACCACGTGTATTAATAGACAAGGTACCACGTTTCTCTTAGTGACACTCCCCCTAATGAAAATAAAGTAACAAATCTTGCTCAACTCACAAATCCAGGACAAGAATAAAATGTTGTCCTACTTGGCTGGATAGTTCACATTGTACCATGTCGCGGTAGTTATAATATTCTTTATCTGTGTCGTTCTGGTTTCGTGTTGCTGGAAAACTGCAGTTGCGTATTCTGATATGACGGTCTGGGCGACAACATACTTCAATCAGCAACGTCTAGAAAACAAACACACACATACCTCAAATTATTCTGGATTCAACACTGCACCTTAACTGGTCTCCGATTATGATATCAAGCATAAACACATAAACATGTAATAATATTAAAAAGTATCTTAACACTTCGTCTACAAATTGAAATAGGTTACCGTTTGATAGATGCTGTTGCAAGTTAATCCAACTTGTACAGGATGAAATACGACTGATATTGGTCCTGTATTAAACTGAGTGCTGGAAAGATAATTAGGGGATATTAATGAAACAAAATAACACGGTTAGAAGCTGCGTGGGTTGCATATGCATGAAATAGCTTTATTTTTTAGCTGGTTGAAGGCGCGCAGACATTGACTCCATCACAACCAAGCAAAGCGCAAATATACAGCTATTTCCAAAACGGCTGAGAGGATTTTTTTGCATATTGCCAGCTTTCCCAAGAGAGTCAAAAGACAAAGCAATGGCAGTCATTTTGGTGCCGTTAACAATGGATGCTAATAAAAAATATTTTGTTAAATGGTACCAACGCTCCCCCGAGAGGTCGCGAAGACGAAACGTGCAATCGAAGAATTGCATGTTGCATGCTGCTTCCTAAGATTCAAATGTAGTAAAAAAGAACTGGCTATAAACCTGTTTTACCTGTTTCCTGTACCATTTTTCTTTACTTGGCTGAAGGTGAAAGTCTGTGGTATTGAAAACAATAAAAAATATGACTCATTTATGATGAACAAGAAGTGAATTTCAAAGGGGGCAACCGGGATTGAACCGATGACCTCTCGATCTGCAGTCGAATGCTCTACCACTGAGCTATACCCCCTTCTCATTAAGCAAAAGACCCAAAATTCTAAACTAAAGCATATTTGTTTTTTATTGCATTAACTTCTTGAGAATAGATGTTTGAATCTTTCCAAACATTAGTTCAAATTTGACACGGTTTTTTTTTGTCATTCATAGGACTTTAACAGCAAACGGACCAGTGCAGTAATCTGAAGCCGTTGAAGAAATAAATAAAAGTATACCTTCCGAAGTACTGAGAAAATATCAAGACAATATCAAGACACTTCCTAACAAGAAGGGGGTATAGCTCAGTGGTAGAGCATTCGACTGCAGATCGAGAGGTCACCGGTTCAAACCCGGTTGCCCCCTTTCCTTTTTTTCTTTCAAGAAATGTTGCTAAGAAAATATCTTTAACCCTTAGCGCAAAGCACGACGATAAATAGATTTGTTTTATTCCTTCCATCAACTTTTTGAAAATATTCGTTTGATTCGCACGCATACTCAGGTGAGTCTTCCCAAACATTGTAGTAAAGAAAGGAGTGATGCTTCAGAGAATGATATCGGATCTATTAGAAAAATGCATTTTGAAAAAAGGAGTTCACATCAATTTGAAGTGCTGAGAGAATAATAACAAGATGGATGTTGACCATGAGACACTTGCTTAATAAGAAGGGGGTATAGCTCAGTGGTAGAGCATTCGACTGCAGATCGAGAGGTCACCGGTTCAATCCCGGTTGCCCCTTCTTTTATTTTTCCTTCTCTCATCTTATCATTTGAGATTTCTAATTTCAGCAAGTCCAATGCGAGAAACAGAATACATTTTTGAGTATTTACGTCGTACCTTGTTTACTATAGTCAAGGCAGGATAGAATTGCTTTCGTTCTTCAGTTGTTACATCAATAAGAGTGGAGCTGGAAACATCGTGCTTTAACAAAACAAAAAATGGTTATTAAATTAGAACCGGTGGGGCTGGGTAGGGGTCAAGCAAAGTTGAAGTTGTATTAAAATAATATCACCGTAACCATATACTATACAAAATCATGAGAAACCACAACAGTATTACGGCACCGCACCAGACAAGGCGTGATTGTTGACCAATGCGAAATATTAACTGAAGGTGCACAGTGTGGTTTTCCGCTGAATTTAGTGCAGGCGCACGCGTATTGAAGCCGTCGTCACACCAAAGAACAAAATATGTATGATTTTGATGAAATCGTGCCGTGACCGCGAAGGCGTCGTGTCCGAAGATTTCGGTGATTTCGCGCACTGAAGAAAGAACCAGATAATATGGAATGAAACATTAAAGCAATTGCTGTATCTGACTTACCAAAATCCTGTTGTCAGAGGAATGACGATAGATTAACGATACCCAGACCTAAGATAAACAGATCATTTAAGAAGGGGGTATAGCTCAGTGGTAGAGCATTCGACTGCAGATCGAGAGGCCATCGGTTCAAACCCGGTTGCCCCCTTTGAAATTCCTTTTTTTTTTCTTTCAAGAAATATTGCTAAGAATATATCTTTAACCCTAAGCGCAAAGCATGACGGTAAATAGAATTGTTTTATTCCTTCCATCAACTTTTTGAAAATATATGTTTGATTCGCACTCATATTCCTGAATCTTCCCAAACATTGTAGTATACGTATAGAAAGAAATAATACTTCAGAGAATGAGATGGGATCTAATAAATTGCGCTTTCAACAAAAAGTGCTGAGAGAATAATAACGATTGATATTGATACACATTCCTAACAAGAAGGGGGTATAGCTCAGTGGTAGAGCATTCAACTGCAGATCGAGAGGTCATCGGYTCAAACCCGGTTGCCCCCTTTAGWTTATTTTTTTGAGGACCCTTCTGTAAAGCACTGATTGTGATGTTAGGATACTCATTAGAGATGATTTGTTATCAATATTTGAAACATTGCAGTTGTTAGGGATTTGTTTCCCGACCGCACTGGAAGACTAGGGCCGGCAAAACTTTAGAGACTCAATTGAAAACTATGCATTTATTTAACTCTCGGCCGCGAAGTTGGTTAATAGTAAAATGGTTATTCATGAGAATACGTCTTTTCGCATTCATAAAATTACCACGAAAGTGAACAATTCTTGTTGTTTTCTTCCCCTCAATTTGCTGGGTTTCAATCGACGTCATTTCCAGTCTCGTGCGGAATGTTCAATAGACCCCTTGCAGCACGCCGGAATGCAACTCAATCTGGGGGACAAAGCAATAGGTTTCAATTCTCAGGAGGTTGGAAATCTTTTGTTTTGTCCCCCAGATCTAGCTGCTTTGACGTCACATGCAAGGGGTCTAAATGATTCTAAAAAAAATAGGTTTCCAATTCTCAGGAGATTGGAAATCTTTTGTTTTGTCCCCCAGATCKAGCTGCTTTGACGTCACATGCAAGGGGTCTAAATGATTCTTTCTGGTTGGCAGCAGGTGGTGGTCAGTTTTTGATTACCATTTGGAGCAGATAATGAGATTCAAAGGCTTTAATCCGCTAATTGAAACCCAGCAATATTAAAGGTCGAGCCATTATTCGTGCTTTTTACTTACAGATATGGTTTCGCCTTTGTCGATGTACTGTAAACCAGCTGAAGCATTGGTAGAGAATCTAAGAAACTAAGTGATACAAAAAAACAATTTTTTTCAATCTATGAAAGGCATAATTCCTGGAATCGTATTCCCAAGAGGTTTCAAGTTTTTTTTWAAAAAGTCGTACTTACAGGACACTCGATGTTGGGATACATTCCACTAGTAACTTCATTCTTCAAGGGCAGGTGTCTTCTCTCTATGCTTCTACTGCTGCTGTAACCAAATGCATACACATAAAGATTGGATTTTCTAACAACCAGAAAAAAGGCTGAAAAATTAGAAAGAAATCGTATAGAGATGAATAAAGTTGTCGAGTATGCGCAGTAAAAAATAACGAGATTGGAACTTAATTCTTACCTTGAATTTGACAGAAGCAAAAGACGTCCGGTAAGATCAAACATCAAGGCTAGTCCATTAGAATCTGCTTCACCGGGGTATATCTGGAAATTTAAAAATAATTCTCAACTTTACTATGATGTAAAGATATGTAGCCGAGCAGCGAGGGAAAGAATTCAAAGGGACGCATTTGCCGCGCACGCGTTTAAGAATAATAAAAACAGATTGCTTGAGATTCAAGATTTGGCTAACAAAATCTATGTTGCACTGTTTCGATCAATCAAGGTACTCGTCCTGATTATTTAAGAGCGCGTGTAGTATATTCAGGTCATGGAGCTCACACATGCTTTAAATAATGAGTGTACGAATAGTATATTTTGACCAATTAGAACACCCGTAGCATGTTTTGACCAATCAGAACGCGCGTAGTATTTTTCGGCCAATCAGAGTGCAATATTTCAAACAAAGAGAAGAAGCATATAATAGTTCGACCAATTAGAGCGGGCGCAGTATATATTGAACCAATACAGCTCAATAATAAAATAATTAGTTAATAAATATGAACTTCAATACCTCTATTAAAAATTGCACACCAGCCCGCCCGTAGAACATTCTGCCATCCTGAAGTAACGCGACATAGTCTCCAGAAGGACCTAAAAGAATGATGCACTTTATTGAATAGACCTCTTTACCTTGGACGTAATAGTTTACCATTTCCCATAGTAACATAGTGTCAGACTAATCTAACAAGAAGGGGGTATAGCTCAGTGGTAATGCRTTCGACTGCAGATCGAGAGGTCATCGGTTCAAACCCGGTTGCCCCCTTTGAAATTCCTTTTTTTCTTTTAAGAAATATTGCTAAGAAAATATCTTTAACCCTAAGTGCAAAGCACGACGGTAAATAGAATCGTTTTATTCCTTGCATCTCCTTTTTGAAATTATTCGTTTGATTCCCACGCATACTCAGGTGAGTCTTCCCAAACATCGTAATAAAGAAAAAAATAATTCAGACGATGAGATGGGATCTAAACAAGCTTGATTCGCACGCATAGTCGTGAGACAGAAATAATACTTGAGAGAATGACATGTGGTCTTAAACATGGGAAATATAACGCTTTAAAAAAGGAGTTCACATCAATATGAAGTGCTGAGAGAATAATAACTAGATGGATATCGAGACGCTTTCCTAACAAGAAGGGGGTATAGCTCAGTGGTAGAGCATTCGACTGCAGATCGAGAGGTCACCGGTTCAAGCCCGGTTGCCCCCTTTTTATTTTTCATATAATATTTCGTCAGTTAGTCTTCATTTTGTTTTGTTTTGTTGTTTGTTTGTTTGTTGTTTTTTTTGCTTGTGATCAGTTTAAACACAGGGTACCCACTCCAGAAAATAGTGCTTTGCATGTTATGCATGTCAAGGGCAAGACATTGTGCTTCTTAGAGAGAATCAAGCAAATATGTAGTGCAAGATATTTACCATTGCATGTATAAGTTTTCTTGTATATAATTTATCTGAGTACTCTTCAAGTATCTACTTGCATTTTTATGGTTTTTGTGTTTTACCTGTTGTTATGGTCAAAATGTCTGCTGCCCCTGTTACGTCATAGAGGCGTTTCCCGTAACGTGTGGTCAGCGGTAGTCTCGTCCCTAAAACCACAAAGCATTGTTGCTTGGATAGATAGGGTAGGGATGGATGGATGGATGGATGGATGGATGGATGGATGGATGGATGGATGGATG